CTATCTATCTATCTATCTATCTATCTGGCTCTCTCTCTCTCTCTCTCTCTCTCTCTCTCTCTCTCTCTCTCTCTCTCTCTCTGTGTGTTTATTTGTGTGTTTGTGTGTTTGTGTGTGTTCCAGCACAACTCTGGAATGCCTTGAGCAATTTCAACCAAACATGGTACACAGATGACTCTCTGGAAACAAATACTGTGGGGGGTAGGACACCCCCAACACCCTTTGGGGGGGGTGTTCTGTTAAGATACAGCCTGTTGTGCCGTAAAATGGCTTCTACTGTACATCACAGTGGAGCTGCCATGGTAACAGCTTCATAGTACTCCACAAGGAGGCTCCCTCTGGTAAGGGGGAAAATCCAACATTAGAAATTACGTTTGGTCCAGACATTTGTGAATGTCTAATACAGGATTGGAATAAACAAATACCCGGGCAATGCTGGGTTAACAGCTAGTAGACTAATAAAATAGACTGTACAGTTTCATATAGATTAATGGAAGCAATGTGGTCACTCTCTCCACTGAAAATAATGTTTATAGTGTGAATGGCATATGAATATGATAAAAAAATATCTGCCAGATGTGAGAGACAGTTTTGTGTAATGGTTTATATTTCCCCTGGATATTTTCTGCAAAGGCTCTATTTTTTTGCAAAATAATAATAATAATAATCCCAGCGGAACGGAATTCTTATCAAAGGTGAAAACAACAGAATCCCCTTTGAATATAACCTATAGATCTGGCATAATAATTTAACGTATAATTTCCTGCTAAATTTATTTGGGCACATACAGCATTAAATTATAATGAGCCATGGTGGCGCAATGGTTAGAATGCAGTCCTGCAGGCTACTTCTACTGCCTGCCGGTTGCCTGCAATTTGGCAGTTCAAATCTCACGGGGCTCCAGGTTGACTCAGCCTTCCATCCTTCTGAGGTGGGTAAAATGAGGACCCAGATTGTTGGGGGCCATAGGCTGACTCTGAAAAACGGCTTAGAGAAGGCTGGAAAGCACTGTGAAGCAGTATATTAGTCTGCTATTGCTATAGCTGTTATCTATTTTCAATGGGGTCTATGTGGCAAATCAATGTCGGGTCAGTTGGCTTAGTAGATATGGCATAATTATTATTTCTATGATTTATGTGTTTTTCACTTGTTCTTTTATCCCCTCTCCCAAAAGCTCACAGAATGGCTTGAAAATATTGCCCACAGCAATCTGGGTCCTCATTTTACCCACCCCAGAAGGATGGAAGGCTGAGTCAACCTTGAGCCTGGTGAGATTTGAACTGCCAAATTGCGGTCAGCAGAAGCAGCCTGCAGTACTGCACTCTAACCACTGCGCCACTGAGGCTCAGAAGCTAGTTAGGATCTGGTTTTGAAGTTATGGACCACTGCAGCACCTGTGGTTATTCCCCTAACAATTGACCACGGGGATGCAGAAGGCCATCTCACTATTTCCCGTCACATCCCGCTCCACCCAACATCCCATTCCAGATCTCCCGAGCTTGTGTTAGGGAAAGAGAGTAGGCTGCTCCACCCCTGGGCCATGTGACATGATCCCGGAACCAGCTGCCGTTTTTGGAGCAGCCACAATTTATTGGCATTTAATGGTAGGCTTCATTACAGTTGTGAGTCAAGGATTACCTATATCACCTCTTTCGTTTGTTAATAGTTCTGATCCGAACTTTGCAAAATCTAACATTAATAAAGTAGAAGCGAACAATGAAGCAATCACAGTGTGTAGCAGCTGCCAAAAAAGCCAACACAGTTCTAGGCTGCATAAACAGAGGGATAGAATCAAGATTACGTGAAGTGTTAATACCACTTTATAATGCCTTGGGAAGGCCACACTTGGAATACTGCATCCAGTTTTGGTCACCACNGTAAAAATGCAAGTAGAAAAAATAGGAACCACCTTTGGTGGGAAGGTAACAGCGTTCCGTGCATCTTCGGTGTTGAATCATACCGGCCACATGACCACGGAGACGTCTTCGGACAGCACCGGCTCTTCGGCTTTGAAATGGAGATGAGCACTGCCCTCTAGAGTCAGGAACAGCTAGTACATATGTGCGAGGGGAACTTTTACCTTATCACTTGCTGCAACTGTTTCAAGCCCTGCATAATACATTACCTTGGCTCTCAGGATCGATCTAATTTTGGATGAATATTTTATTAGTTGTATTAGGGATCGCCCTTTAGGAATTGGAACTTTCGTCGCTAAGTGAGGTGGTTGTTAAGCAAGACACATCTGATTTTACCCCTTTTGTTTTGCTGCATTTGCTAACTTAATCACTGCATTTGTTAAGTGAATCATGCAGTCATTAAGCAAATCAGGCTTCCCCCATTTACTGTGCTTATTAGAAGCCAGCTGGGAAGGTCACAATAGGTGATCCTGGGATCCTGGGATGTTGCAACCATTCAAGTGTCATAATTTTGATCAGGTGACTATGGGAACCCTGCAATGGTCATACATATGAGGATCAGTACAAAGACTGGTTGTAAGTAACTTTTTTCAGCACTGCTGTACTTTTGAACAGAATCCAACTGAATAGTAATGGTAAGATGGATAATATGACGTTATTGATGTATCAAGGTTCAGATTGATAGCATTGGGGATGTATCATTCACTGGGCAGATAACTTGATAGCACGCCCTTTTTGGATGCTGCCCCTTTTGACTTTAATGGCTTTATCTCGTAGGAACAGCCTTAAGATTATTTCAGAAACTAACACAGATACTGGGAGACCTGCTCCAGGTTGGCCCTTTAGGCCAGAAAGACCCTCAATTCCATTTGTAGTGAAAGGTATACATTACTAAAAGCCAAATGGTTTACAGTATAGCAAAGCCAGAACTGAAATGTGCGTGCCAAACTTTCCCTGTTCACTTTCCCCTTGCTTATTGTTCAATTATATTTGAATAAATTGTTTTGGGAACTGTCTCTTCAAATGGTGAGCTGGTTATTGAGCCATTCTATTCCATTCCCAGAGTTTTGACCTTGAGATGGTGTCTCTGGAAGGTACAGTGAGTACCGGCTCCCTCCCACCATCATTCATGACAGACTGGCAGCTAGTGAATGCGAAGCTCAAGCAAATGATGGCAGTCCTGACAGTTTAGTAATGCAGACTTGGTGAAAGGCGAATAGTTTAGAACTTTTGATCTACAGTTCCATGTAGACTGATTAGTCTGTACTTCTATATCTATGTCTATATCTATGTCTCGCTCTCTGTCTCTCTCTCTCTTTCTCATATCTATCTATCTATCTATCTATCTATCTATCTATCTATCTATCTATCTATCTATCTATCTATCTA